GCCCCCGCCCTAACCTCGGGCGAGGTCATTGAGGCACATTTCCTAGTGGAGCCACCAACACCAACAAGAAAAAAGGTTTACGCAGTAAAAAAGTTGGAAAATTGTTGAAATCACCCTACCTAACATTTGTAAGTAAGCGGTTATTCCCATGGTAAATTTAAAAGGCTAATATGGCTTAATATACTGACTTAAGCAGTTATGGTATGCGGTGACCTTCGGAGGACCACTCTGCAGTTCAATGCCATCATCAAATCCCTGCTGGACCGACGGATGACGTGTAGAAAACTGGAAGATATTGGGTAAATCAAACTACTTAAAACATTGAAGTAGGTGGTTATAATACATAGGGCTTTGGAAGACCCCTCTTGGAAACTACCCATTTTCATTAAATTCTGTCTACGTAAGATCACATTTCCCTTAATTGGTATTCGTTACCTGCGCAACATAAATTCATGTTGATCGAATTTTATTCTGTTTTAGTACATTAAATCAAACACTATTTTATTTTATTTAATATTTTTTGATCACTTCCGCCACAATTACATATTAACTTAATCTCACTAGCCAAGAATTAAATGCTCGACCACAAAATACGTTAAGCAGTTGGGCGGGGCGATAGGTATCTAGAGGGGCCCTACCGGTCAGTTTTGCCTAATTTTTATGTCGGGACCAGTCTTAGAGTGTTCTGAGTCCACTTTGGTCGACGTGATGACCAAGGAAATCCAGAGACCTGACACCAAAAAGGCGCTTTTCGACGTTCAGCTGTAAACCCTTTGCCTGAAAACGATAGAAATATTGGCCCAAGTGCTCAGCGTGTTCTTTGGATGAAGAACTAACGATAAGAATGTCATCGATATACAAGAACGTGAAGGGAAAAGCCAGTAAGGTGTCGTCAACGAAAACCTGAAACGTTTGGGCCGCATTACGCAAACCGAAAAGCATGTGAAGAAATTCAAAAAGGCCAAAAGGCATCGTGAGAGCAGTCTTTGGGATATTTTCCTCCGCGGCCGGTATTTGGCTATAAGATCTGACGAATTCGATTATAGAGAAGATGGTCTTTCGTGACAGCCCGTGTGAAAAGTCGTGAATATTGGCTATCGGATATTTTTCCTGGACTGTGTCTCTGTTCAGAGCGCAATAATGACCGCATGGTCTCCAGTATCAGGATGACATCTTGAGTATCATGTGCAGTGGAGAGGTCCATGGTCTAGACGAAGGCCGAATTATCCTCAAATTCAACATGTGCTCGAAGTCGTTTTTCGCGATCCAAAGATTCTCAGGGTGAAGTTGGCGTGAGTGAGCAGGGACTGGACGTTCAGTAGTGACAATGTGATGACAGACAGTTTGCCGAACATGTTCAGTGAACTGGGACGGCTTAGC